TCCAGTTGTTTTTGTCTTGAACTTTTATGAATATAAATGAATGCAGTAGAATTGCTCAGAACTAATGCAGAATCTCCCTTCAAAAAGGCTGGATTGCCCCTTTAACATGCCACAGGACTACTGCTGAGAGGAGGTTGTGTTGTGGCACTGGAGGAGGAGGAGTCTGTTAACTGATGGCCTCTCACATCCTAATCCGGATTAAAGGGTCGTCCTCCCTGCAGTCAGGACTCAGTCGTGGCGGTATAAATAAACTGAACTGAGCTGGAAGCAATGATGGTGGTGGTGCGTTTAAGTTCAAGCTGAGCTGCTGATTTAGCTGCGGATTTCACGTTTTCATCAACTTCTGCTGATTTTTTTTTTTTTTTTGCCTCTGTGAGATGTTCTCTGCTGGAGGTGAAGTTGGGTAAATATCTGCAGCCTGGCTTGCAGCAGCACTCTGCAGCAGCCACACTGAACACTGCAGCTTCAAGCTGCTCGCTCTTCTGCACAAAACAGCTGCTCTCTCCTCATCCAGCCTCTGCTACTCACACAGCAGGGGCATCTTTTCAAACCTGACGGCTTCTGGTGAGTATTTTTGATCAAATTACTGCAGCACACATGGTAATGTGTCTCAGTGGGTTAGAAAGAAATGGTTGTTTTTTTTACATCAGACATGCACTTTCTGTTGGGTTCATGTGCCACAAGTGCTGATTAACCGCCATGAAACTCTCAACTCTTAAAAGATTTTAATGACGAGACTCAGCTTCACTAAACATCCAGATACAAATGCCAAATGTGTCAGGCACCAGAGTCAAAATGACTTTCAGAACAGGATTAGGCTAAAGCATCATGGAGATTAATTTCCTGCCTGTGTTTTCTGTTATTTTTCATTCAGAGCTCTTATTTATTGTTCCAGTTTATCCCGTTGTAATTGTTCACACATGAGGACAAGACTAAAAGAGGCACAAACTGAACTGATGATCTTAAACTTAACCAAGATAAAGTGGGATTTTTCTTGCTGGTTTTAATATTTCTTCCTCTTTGTTTAAATGTGCTTCATTGCAAACTATGGAATTGTTAATAAGAGTTTCAAAGAGTTTACTCCAGTAGTTTTCCAGATATATTGAAATGCAAATCTGGAATGTGGGTGTGCACTCAACATAAACAAAGCAGCTTGCTCTGTATTTACTCAACAAATCTGAGAGTAAATATCCACCAAAACATCAGAAATTGTCTTGACTTCTCGTTCCAAAGCAGTTTCTTCCACGGAAGTTACCGCTGTTCACCTTTTTTCAGTCACTTGGGCTGTTTTCGTCTGCAGCCGTTCACACATTTTTATAGCAATTTTTTGAATTTAGGGACACATTAACCAAAAATAAACAGTGCAGATTTTGTTCTCTGTTCTTTTTTTTAATGCAATGAGAGTGAGAAGCTTTAAAGATGCCTAAACTGAGCCACTTGTAGTGATTCAGTACCAGAGACTCGAATGAATCAATCCAGCTGGAGCGGGTTAGTGGAGTCTCTTCAAAACTGAGCCTTACTCAGCTTCATTTTCTGTGAGTTTAGCCACATAAATGTTGATAGCACTTCTCTTAAATGTATGACAAACGTAGTGACCTAAGACACGATTAAACAAAAAAACAGTTCAGTTGTTTCACCTGGATGTATCAGAACCTGGACCTGCATCAACTGTTTCCCCCTCGGTCCATTAAATTCAGGTCATTTTAGACTGTCCCACTTTTTAACCTACTTTAAAATCTTGTTGAGTGATTTTATTTTGTATTATTTAAATCAAAACTCACTGAAAGAGCTATTTAAATCAAGGTAGCCTTAAACAATATTTTAGCGTATTTGTTTTTGAGTTGGAAATAACTGAAAATACCTCAATAATGGCTTTTGTGTATAACAAAAATATATATATTTAAATGATTCTTTTAACAAATGTTTAAATAACTACAAGTTACGAATAATTAAATGTTGTATTGTAACCTCTTAATTTGTTTAAATACTGTATACTGCAGGTCTTAGTGACAGATGTTTAACTATTTTGATGTTACTTATTTTTCTTACTCTTGAAAAACAGGAAATCTGTTTTCTTAAGTAAAATTTGCACATTTCTTCTGCGGTTTTTTTTTTGCTACTGCAAAGAGATCATATTAAGATTTAATAAAGAAGACGAGGAGAATTCTTGTGCAATGAACAATTAGTAGACTAGTATCTAGTGTCCAAAAAAATAAAATGAATAACAGAAACAGTTATTTACACCTAAGAGCATTGGTTCCCAAAATTGCTGGTGGGACCCCAGTTTGGGTCACAAAACACCAAGTGAGGGTTCTTAGTTAATATCCAGCTTTTTTTTTAACCATATTGGTTAGAAAGCACAAAACAGTAGTCATAAATTATTTATCTATTTATCTATATATGTGGATGTTAAGTATTTTTATATTGTCTTTTTGCCCATGTTTTATTGGGTTACTACTAGTTTAGTATATTTTAATAGGCAATAGATGGAGTCAGTCAATGTCACAAACATTTGTGGGTCATAATTCAAAAGGTTTGAGAACCATCATGGTGATTGTTGTGAACTATTGCTGGTAGAAGTATACAAACATAATGGCCATTGTTTTTATCTCTGTAACAGTTGAAGCTAAATTTGATACCAGCCATCAATTTTAAACCTGATTTGATTTCTGTATATCTGCTAAAACCACCCACTTGTGTTTTTACGACTCCAAACCCACTTCCTGTATGGTGGGGCTCGTATTTCCTCGTTTTTAGTTAATATAAAGAGAAATATCTGCCTCTTTTCTATCCCAGTATAGATAAAATTGTTCTCTTTCTTGTGCAGAACAGGATCTTATGTTTCTACATGAAAGGCTGCCTAAAGTCCCTGCTGATTATATTCCACTGAGGTTTTCCTCTCTCGGTCAGCATGAACTTCCTCCAGATTGACTCAAAGTGATTAGGGTGATGCAAAACTGTCTGCGGCAGCTGAACCGTAAAAGCAGAGCAGCACATTTTAGACGTGATGAAAAGGCCAGAGAGTCAGCGTTACAACAAACACTTCTCCCGATTAATTTTGTGCAAAGACATGTGGCTTAACGTTCAAGTTTGTAATGTACCAGAAAATGGACTTTATTTCTTGATATAAAAAAGCTTCTTTAGTTTGGAGGATTACAGTTAATCCACTTTTGGTCTGGATCATGTAGCTCTGTTGGCTCTCGCGGTATTAGTCCGCCTGCCATGATACGTGTCTGAGATTTTGTTCAGTAAACAAGCCGTGAGAGGCTTTTTAAAGACCCACATGCACTCCGAGCTCATGCCTAATTTAATACTTTTGAAGCCGTAATGGAAATAAGTTGTAAAAATAAAATAATGTTGCTTCCCCTCCCCCATAGAAGTGTGCAATAAAAACAACAGAAACTACATCTACGGCTGGTCAAAAGAATGTGTGGTTCCTTTTAACGCAATCAGCACCACATATTAGGAAATTTAATAAATGTATTTTATGTCAGTCAAACAACTGAGTTTCAATTATTTCAGGATCTAAGTTAATAAAATGCTTTCAAGAGGTCTGAGAGATATTTTCTAGGCACATTCTCATGAGACCACTTTACTTCAAGCAAAGTTTATAGTTTTAAATTTTCGTAGACCAGCAAGGCATGCCTCTACAACAGATAGTAATCACAGGATTACGGTGCTTCATTTATTTTTAAAGAGATTCATATTAAATTGGCAGAGTAGCAGGATGGCAATGATTTCCAAAATAACTTTTATTTTGATGGTAGTTAATTAGTGATGTCTTCAGCAACACCACAGAACGACAGAACGCTCTAAAATAATTTGTCGTATTACAAAAATTCATAAATGGATCATAAAAAACATTCCTTAGTCATTGCCATATTTTAAAGCTTATGGGTGCTTGAAAGTGCAACTTTTGTAACTTCCTGCTGCAGCTAGCTGTGCTGCTAAGATAATGCTAACAAGAAGAACAAATTAAATTTTAGTTTCTTTCTTTTTTTATTTGCTAAGATGGCTGCAAAAGTCATTAAATGGACCATTAAAAACATTCCTCAATCATTGCCGTACTTTAAAGCTTATGGGAATTTGAAAGTGCAACTTTTGTAACTTCCTGCTGCAGCTAGCTGTTCTGCTAAGATAATGCTAACAAGAAGAACAAATTAAATTTTAGTTTCTTTCTTTTTTATTTGCTAAAATGGCTGCAAAAATCATTAAATGGATCATAAAAACATCCCCCAGACATTTTTATTTTTCAAGCAATGGCTCATGGGAGTTTTAAACTACTACTTTACCTTTACAGCTAGCTGTGCTTCTACGATAGCACTAGCTTGTACGTAACCAGGAAAAAACAAATCAAGATTTGGTTTCTGCTGTTATTCTTTATACATCCTTCTTTAAAACACTGCTAAAGCTAACAATGTTTTGTTAGCATTTCTGCATATTAATAAAAAACAAGTTTTTTGATGCTGCTTGTGTAAAGTTAAGTTGTAATGTTCGTCAGCCACCAGAGGATCTGCACCCTTCATGTAGCAGTTTACCAGTGAAGATGACTATTATCTTTAAGGGTTTGTTCAAAAAGAGAGAAAAATAAAGGCCACTGTGTCATACTGACATAAACAAAACAAGTCACATGATCGTTATATCTAATTGTCTTAATATAAAACTTTCAGTGAGCTTAGAGAACAGACAGACCTGGGTGAAATGTTACCATCAGAGGAGTGGTTGGAGGGGGAAGGTGCAGAGGAGATCCGAACATCGGGCACAAATAAAATCAGATTTTCAAGACCAAGAAAGAAGTTTTCTTATTCAATAGTTCAGCCTGACACGAAAGCCACATTTTGTCATTTCTCCTTCGTCTCTGCAGGGTCTGATATGATCAATTGCACCACGCCAGAGAAGTCTGCGCTGTTAAATTCTCTACTTGCATCATGATCCGGACATCAGAGACCTGGCCCGTTTGTTTAAACACCTTCTTACCTTACTCCTGATTTATAGTTGTCATGGAGGAGAGCAAGCTTATCTTCAGCCTGGATCGCCATGACGACGGCCCCTCTGTGGTCTTTTCTAAAGACAAACCACAAACAAGAGAGTCTTGGCCTGACTGCTGTCTTGAGATGAATCTAGACCTGAACCAAGGCCAAAGCTCCCAGCCTCGCTTGTTGCATCACTCCCCCTCATCCCCGAGCTCTTTATCTGATCTGTCAGCACCATCAGCAGACCTGCTCATCACCCCTGGACTGGTCAAATCGTCCTCCACAGACCTGAAGGTAGAGGGGGAGAGCAGCACCGTGAGAGGCAAACCTCTCCTCAGCCTGGTCAAGTCCTTCAGCACAGAGATATCCTGTCGGGTCGAACCTGAGGTCAATCTCTCCAAGTCTGATACAAAGCTGCATTTGCAGCCTTCCAAGCAGGTTACACATCCAAGGACCCTAGAGGACAGGCCTGAAGGAGAGGAACTGGCTGAGAATGAGGGCTGGGCTTCACCTCTGTCCGCAGGCAGCATGTCTCCGACAGAACCTCGAGGCAGCTTGCTGATCGCTGAGCTGGAGGACACAAGAAGGAAGTTTTCAGAGGCCATGCAGGATCCACTCAGCATGCTGAGTAAGATCATGGGGGATGAGAGCTCGGTAAGCCCCAAGCAGAGGAGGGGTTCTAGTACGGGAGACTCACCGTTCTTCCAGGGCAGCTGTGAAAAAGACTCCAGCAGCGACGATTCAGATCTCAGGTGGAGAAGGAGGACGGACGGCAAGCACAGAGCCGAGTGTGAAGGCCTTCTCAAAACCCCCCAAAAGGACTCGCTGGTAAAATCGTTCATCTCCCCAGAACACCGCCTCCCCAGCAGAGAGAGTCGCCTGGAAATCTGCACCTACGGAGACGTTCTTCAGGTGGTGGAGCTTCAGGGCGAATCCAGACGAGTGCATCATCGTAGCACCCGGCCTCCAGTCACCGTGGCGGGTTCATCTCTGCCGCTTCACTGGCTCCTTCCTGTTGGCCTTCTGGCTTATGGGCTCTTTGTGCTGCCCGTCCCTCCGTACGTGGCCGGTCTCTCTCTGGGGGCTGCATGTGGCTTTTTGTTAGGCTTGGTGGTCGTGTTCATCTTCGCCCCTCGACGTACAGGTACTGGAAGAAACCAGGGGTCTCTATACAAGGCTAAGCCCACAAACATTAATCCACTGGATGGAAAGCTCGGAGATACAGGAATCCTAGAGGTAACTAGAAAAAAAAGTTGTTGTTTTTAATGAAGTGTGAAGACTGAGTGGTGAATGTTGTGCTGAAATTTGTTCAAAAAGGCATAAGTGAACCGATAAAGTTAAAACAAGCTCAACAAAAGCTAAAACGAGCTAAAAGAAAGCCCAAACCATTAGAATGTACACTCAATCAGAACATGCTGCTAAACTGAGCAGAAGAGCATCTAAAAGCTAAAACAAGCAAAAGCAAAAATCCAAAAGTAGCAAAACAGCAAAGAAAGTTATACTGGGAGAACAGCAACAACAGGATTAAACCAGCAAAAACAATAGCTAAAAGCCAAAATCAGCAAAATGGTAACCTAAAACTAAAATGAGCAACAATAAAAATAAAGACAAAAAGCTAATATGGCTTAGTTGTTTTTTTTTTTTTTTGCAGGAAATGTAACTTTTCTGTTATTTCTTTCTTTTTCTTTTTTTTACTTTAAATTTACCAGGTGAAATGTTGGAACCAGTGATGAGGAGAGGCCGGGCACTTTTCAGGCTTGTGGCAGAAGCCTTTTCTTGCTCGTTACATTGAGTTGCTTTTAAATGTTTTTCGTTTATGTTTCCTGTCATGGATATGAGCCTGCAACAACCGAGTTTGCATAAAACCAAGCCGTGAGGAACACACACCTCTCAAACGATCAGTAGTGCTCAAGTCATATTGAGGTGGTTTCTTTAATGACAGATGCATTCTGCTGCTGCTCGTCTCCCCCCCGCCCCCCGCTGAGCTGCAGCGTTCATTTTGAATAATAAGGCATTAACACCCAGCCTGTGTTGTTTGAACCAGTCAGGAAAATGTGACTAAATCAGTTTAGATTGTTGTTTACTTTTTGCCAGGGCTGGATGAATGAGGCACCCACCTACGACCCGGAGACCTTCCACCCCTCCATAACACACTCTGTCTATGTGACTCTGGAGGGCAGCCGGCTGCGCCTGGCGTACCCCCGGGCCAACATCCCACGGTGGGCAGCTTTTGACGAGGCGCTGCATGAGGCCGCGTTTTTGCATTCCTGCACCTACCAGCTGGCTAACAGTAAGGTAAGTGTGCTGCAGAAAGACACATCTAATTTATTAGTGCATGGAGAGAAGATGACATCTCACCTCACGCTCGTCTCTCTGCACCCACCTTGTCACCAAACACGGAGGTGAAAGACCTGAACGTTGATGTGCAGAATGAAGTTGACCCCTCGGCTTCACTGAGGCAGCCTGACGGGTTACATTTTACATTAGAGCTGCAGGATCAAGATTAAACACTATCGGATAAAATGCACACTCTTGAGTTTCTGTATCTCTTTTTTATATTTTAATATGTTTCTCCGTCTGTTGTTTGTGGTCCTGCATGCAGACAGACAAACTTCTAAGTGCTAAGCTCGTTCAGGAGATGATGGCTATGACTTTTTGTCCTTGTCTCGTTTATGGTTTTTAAGGTCTTAATATAAAATTAAGCTTTAAACTCCATTGGAATATACTGTACACACACACACACACACATATATATATATAATTATTATTATTAGCTTGGATTTTGTCCATTACTGTCCTTCCACCCCTCAGTTCAGCTTCAAACTTCATAAACATTTAATTCACAGATATAAGAAACTGGAGCAAGTGCTACTACTGGAGCTAGCACTAGTAGTACCAGGAGTAGTTATGCTACTACTAATTCTATTAGTTATATTACTTTAGAAGTACTAAAAATATTAATACTAGCACAATTACTATTGTGTTACTATATTATAGTTTTACTAGTAATATTAGTAATAAGACTAGTACTAATACTTGTGCTTTAACTTTACTCTGCTGTTAGTACTAATTCATTAATTCAACCTTTATTTAGACAGGTTAATCCCATTGAGCCTCGAGGACTCATTTACAAGAGAGACCTGATTTTAACAAAGAGTGATGACAGCAATTTATAACAACGACAACAATAGACAGTCATAAAATAGGTTGTACAAATTTAAGTTTCTCTTTTTTTTTTTTAATAAATCAAAACAAAATAGCAACCATAAGGACAATCAAGAGGAAGAGCAGCAATAAAACAGTTAGATCTCAAGGCGGTTTAGAAAACTAAAAACAGGAACATGTCTGCATTGGCTTCTGCCAGGTACTTAACAGGGTTTTAAAGTAATAACTAATACTAATAAATATATAATAATAAATACTAAATAAATAATATAATAATAAATACTAATAAACTAATACTATACTGTACCAGAAGTACTACTTGTAGTAATTATAGTACTGTTACTATAATTCTACTACTAGTTGTACTCGACTATTACTTCTTGAACTATTAGTATTATTATTTTATCAGTACTAGTAGTACTATCACTGTACTAGCACTACCAGTAATACCATTACTATTTTGCACTAGTAGTACTTTTACTGTACTATTACTTGTACTACTAGTGTAACATGTGTGAGTCAGAGCCTCAAGCCGCGTTTTGCTCAAGTTAGGTTTGGCCTTCCCGTCACACGAACACAGACAGGGCTGGAGACAAATGAGCAAATTCAACTCTTTTTTTATTAAAACGTGCAACGAAGAACTAAAGATTTGAAATATCTGGAGAAGCTTAAATGTGTAAAAGGGGTCATCAGTAAGAGGTTGCATAAACACCAATGAGCCAAGAGTAGTTACGTGTTCTGCCCCCACAGTTCAGTTCATAATGTACAATCCAGGTGAAATCAGTCACTCAGTACGCCACACCAGCGGGGGGGATTACGACATAATACCCAGAAGGAGCGCTTCGTTCCGGGACCTGTCCAGGGTGTCCCCCACCTCTCGCACAGTGAATACTGGATACGGGCACCAGTGACCCCTGCGGCCCAGAATGGAAGAAGCGGGTAAAAGATAATGATAATGCATGTGTGGATGGAACGCTTCGCACCATCCACATGGGGTATAGATCAGTGTCAGTCTACTAAGCCAGCAAACCAGCAAGTAGAGTCGTCAGGCAACATTCCTGGTGTAGTTACACTTGCACTGGTGAGCCTGTCAGTATGTCCCAGCTGCACATCCACGCCCGTCTCCACCATATGCTTTAGAAAACAGAAGTGGAACGGAATAAGAAGAGGCCTAATCGCCACTCAAATACTCTAGTCCCACCGGTACCCACACACCCCGCAGGGGAAAACTTGCACTTTCCTTTAAGATCACGAGCGTTGAAAGCAGGACCACCACGCTGACGATCTCACTGTAGACCCGGCAGATGGACGTAACCGAGGTCTCTGCAGCCCCACCTGATCCTGAATGTTGGTTCAAATAGGCAGAGGATCCACACTCTCTCTCTCCCCATCAGTGATAATCCAGAAGTCATTAAGTTCAAGAGAAGGATCAATTTAAAACAGCTGTCGTTGATGAGCTCAGTGAAAAAAAGAAACAACCTAAAACTTAATGTTCACACCAAACACAGTAAAACATGCAACTACCAAAAAAAAAACAAAAAAAAAAAAACCCCACACTGGTAAGACAACAAACCAAACCTAAAAAAGTGAATTACGGTAACTCATCAAAAGCCCCAATTGTCTGTGACACTAGTACACTAGTACTATTATGAGTACAATTACTATAACGGTACCAGTAGTACTATTACTATGCTTAGATATAAATTGTATCTGTTTATGCATATGCAGCATCTGTAGGGTTTCTGGGGTCTTGTCTTACATGTTGTGTTTTCCCTCATGTTTGCCTGTCACCCCTCAGCTTTTCTCCTCCTGTGTTCCAGCACTGTTGCACCTGTGTCTAATTCTAATCACCGCAGGTGTCACTCATTTCACCTTGTTTGTGTCTGTATATATTCAGCCTCTTGGTGTCTTGTCAGTGTCTCTGGATTGTCCTTTTCCTAAGGCTTCATGACCTGTCTCTCCTGTGTGTCCTCCTTTGAGTAAGTTTGCTGCCCCGACAGCATTTTGTTTTGTTTATTTAATTAAATAAACTATTTTACTTATTTACTGGAGCTTCATTCATCTTCCTGCACTTTGGGTCCCCACACACGGAGCCGATCATGATAGAATCCAGAGACCATACCGAACCCAGCAGGAAGATTGACATCTTTACATGGCTCGCCCGTGAGGCGGACAAAACTGCTCGGCGTGAGGAGGAGGAGAGGAAAAAGACTTTGTACCAAGGTACGCGCCTGGCTATTAAAACTGGGTCTTTTGCCTCACCACCTCGCCTTTCCTCACCTTCTCACAGAGCGACAGCTCCTCGCAACCCACCTCCTCCCCAACCACCTCCTGCTTTCCTGGAGCGGTCTTCAAAGGGAGGGGGGCAGTCTGCTTGGACTCACCGCAGGAGCAACGGGCGGCGGAACGGGCGGCGGAACCGAGCCGGCTCCACCGAACTCCAGCACGTCCCTCCTCAGAAGCAATCCAGTCCATGCCGGTGTGTTTCCCTTCGTGGGGGGGAGGACGTCGCACCTGCCTCTGGGGGGGAGGACGTCGCACCTGCCTCTGGGGGGGAGGACGTCGCACCCGCCTCTGGGGGGGAGGACGTCGCACCTGTCTCTGGGGGGGAGGACGCCGTACACCCCTGCGTACCTGTCGCTTGGGGGGAGGAACCCTGCAGTTCCAGCGATCTCTGGGGGAGGATGATCGCTGTGGAAGATGTCATCTCCAGGTACACCAGGGCTGACAACTCTGACAGCTCACCTGAGGGGTGGGAGCAGTTCCGGCGGGCATGGATGGAGAGGCGCGTGCTGCGCTCACTCCTGCTGGTCTCCGCACCAGCCCAGGACCCGCTGGTCTCCGCACCAGTCCAGGACCCGCTGGTCTCCGTACCAGCCCAGGACTCGCTGGTCTCCGCACCAGCCCTGGACTCGCTGGTCTCCGCAC